AGGCCCCGAATCACTCTGTCTGGATGGAGGGCTGGGGAAAGCGGGAGGGGAGACTGACTTTCGGAATAATCCATGTCATAAGACAGTTACTCTTTCATGAGCACCTACCGTATGCTAACTAGTTCCCGTATCTCGGGATAGCACAGTGGACTCTTGCGTATGCCTGCCAACTCTCTCGGAGTGACCTCGAGTAAAGATCTTGAGACTCTAATTTTTCACCTGTAAAGATGGGTGGACGAAGTAACACAGAGCAACCTCAGGGTTTCTGTAAGGACTCTCCCCTCCCCTTCCCCAGGACGCGCTCTCACTGACAGCAGGGGACATACAGAAGACGCCGTGCTAAGCACACGTACACAGATCCTCTCATTTAATACCCCACAAATCAGCAAGGCCAGTACTTCTCTTCCCATTTCATATGGACACTAGGACTCAGAGAGGCTGAGCCCTTGCCCAAGCTCACTCTCCTCCTCAGTGGCAGAGCTGGGGGCCATCACTGACTCCGAAAACTCCATGCTTTCCATTTGGCTACCAGGGGTCTCACACTCATCTGTCTTGGAGGGCCAGGAAGCTGATGGAAATCAGCGAAGCAAGCCAAGGAGAAATGCAAGAGGGAGGAGTTGGAAAGGTGCCCCCTGGGCCATGCTCAGCCACGGAAAGTGACTGACAGGGATATTTCATTTCAAAACACTGTCCACACCCAACCAGTCTGCCTGCAGGTTTGACACATCCTGAATAGCACCTGCATTCCTTCCTGGCAGCTGGGCAACGCTGAGGACTCTGGAGCCTGGAAGGTTCCGGCCAGTCCACAAAAGCAACGTGAGTCAAAAGTTCCTGGGGAGGAACTGTGTGCTTCCTGTCAGCAGCAACCTGCAAAGCCAACGGTCTCAGCTTAGGTTCACATGGTCCCTGGCGGGACACAGGTCGGGGCATGTCATCCCTGAGCTAAACTTAACCTGTTCACTGGGAGAACATGGCAGTTCACATTTCAGATAAAAAAAAAAAAAAATTTAACAACTTTAAGAGTAAATGCAGCAGCAAATGGGGGCGGGTGGGAAACACAGACCATGTTTTCTGCTGAAAATCCCACTGGGAATTTGTGCCGTGACCTACATCACTCCGCTGCCCTTCCACGCCCGACTATCTCCCTCCCCTCAAGGAGCGGCAGAACATATTTCCCAAGAATAAATTACTCTTCAGAAAAACATTTTAATAATGTGCTAAACGACAGCACAGCAAATCACCGAGGCTGTCACCAATTTGCGGTTCTAGTTCTGCAGAGTGAATTCTTGGAGTCCGAGCCTGCTTTCGTTAGCAGTACCTGACACTTCCCTCAGCACCTGCTACCATCTGCAACGCGTCACCTCTGTGTGAGCACCTTTCCACCACATGCCAGAGGACGCACGCAACACGGGGCTCCCAAAGGAGGGTGCTGGGGGGCTGGCATCCATCTGCTGCCTGTTTGGGGGGCCAGGCTCTGGCCTCCACCTGGGCCATGCTGATACATGGAGTTCAAAATAGAAAAGAAACGGCCCACTTCCCACCGGCCTACTTTCCAATTCAGAATTGCTGCTGCTGGCATTAGCAAAGGTGGCGCCGGGACAGAGAGAGATTGGGAGGAAAAAAAATGCAACCTGCTGATTCTTCAACCCTCAGATTTGTGCAGATGGCAGGGTACTCAGAAGTCATCGTGCCCCTTGTAGAACACAGTGAAATACGGACACAAAGTGGGAAAGTGTGTGCAAAAGCAGATCCTGTCTGATACTGAACTTCAGGTTTGCATAAGCCCAAAAGTTTCAAGGAAAAACAGAAGCAAATTCCACCCACTAGCTTTTATCTTTCCTGCCCACCTTCCCACCCCTCAAATCGGAACGTGACCACCATTACTGAATTTAATAGCGGACAAGCCGGAGAACATACAGACAGGAGCACGGCATGGAAGTCAAATGCATCCTGGGTTACACAAGTGTCCTCAAACCCAAAACCGGACTGCAGGGGCCGTGTGAGCACTGGGTAAGAGCCAGGACTGCAAACTCCAGGGTCTGCCGCGCTACCAGGCAGTGACGTGAGCGGGTGATCCGCCTGAGCATATGAGGCCACCAGCACAGAGCAGTGACTCGTGGCAGGGGACGTTGGCTCAGTGTCCCGGTGGACACAGAGGCACCCAACTGCAGCAGAGTGTGACCGATTCTCCTGATTGTCCAAGAGAAGCTTGATATTTGGACTTTTTCTCTGACACCTTCAATTTTTTTTATGTTGGCAAGTACTTCAGTTAACGAAAACAAACAAATAACAAAACCCCACTGTACTGACCAGATAAAACAAGTCAGGGATCAGGCTCGATCCACAGGCTGCGGGCTTGCCACCTGTGCCCCAAAACATGGGCTATGGCCCCAAACAGCCCGTGTGTGTGTGGGGGGGGGCGGGGGTGACACTGGGATTGGCCAGCTAACCTCTCTGAGCCTTGCTTTGTATGATGAAATACTGTATTTATATAATTAAATTGTTATAATTATGAAATATAATGAAACTGTGCAAAATTGTCATTTTAATGGCAACTCTGCAAGATTCTACCTGATGAAGTGGAGAGATGGGCCCGCCTAAGAGGCTCTCGGGAAGATGAATGAGATGAAGTGGGTGAAACATGAGGCGGCACCCGCAGGAAGTACTCGGCACACAGGCACTCTTTTTAAAGAACAGGCCCCTTCATGTGCAGTGATTAAAATGGACCTTTAGAATCCCAAATCAGCATTTGAAAGACCCAAAGAACGTATGTCAAGATTTGTAAGAATAATTATATTTGGGGGAAGTTATTTCCTTAGCCAAGAGACTTTTGTTTTGTTTTGCGTTTTAACCAGAAATCTCTTAGGCTAAGCTTTCTAGCCGAGACTCCAGTCCCGCTGGTTCCAGTGGGCACACAGCGAGGACGCGAACACGGGGAGGTCCACCAGCACGGCAAACGTGTCCGCAGCTCACCTTCCATTGCCCCGAAATGAAACGATCTGCAGACTCTAACCTGTAGCTCCACCTTGCTCCAAAATGAAAAAGAAGAAGAGGGCATTTCAACTGGGATCTAGACCCATGCATAGTCAAAATTCCGGTGTCAATACTGTGTCATTTGCCACCATCTCCTATCGAACTTTTTTGGTTTTTAAGGCCCATAACTGGAAACTTATGTCCTCTGTGCTAATTAGGCACAAAAGGTTTCTCTGAACTGATTAACGGCAACCAGTGTGGCTGAGACTGCACGACCTGCCATAATCCTCACATCAACGTGCAGCTTTTACAGTTGGGCAGACTGATGCTTGGTAGACACTCGACCGGAGATGCTGGGCTGCCAGGGCCGAGCGGGAGGGTCCCCGACTAGTCTGCGTGGGCAGCGCCGCCGCCTCAGGCTCTCAGCATCAGCAACCGACTCGCTAGCTCCGTCTTCACCAGGGGATTCGCCCAAAATGCACGTGACTCAGCGAGTGGCCAATACCCAGCATGCACCACGGGCCAGGGCGCTACTTTGAAAAGAACTAGAACTCCTCTCGGGAGCTACTGTGGCCGTTTCAGAGCACTGAGATCAAGGCCCTGGCACCACAAATGACTGGGTAGAAGGAAAAGACAGTGTTCCAGGGAATGTCTTTTGCTCAGGAAAAAAAGGGCATCTTTTATCACAGGCAGCACGATACGACGACATCTTCTCACGAAAGTCCTAAAACAATCAGAAAACCCTAAGCAACCACCCTGGCTACAATTTCAAGGACCTAATCAGGGAATGAGGCAGCCGCCCATGTCTGCCTGGTTGCAAGTTCGACTTGGAAATGCTGAGCGCACCCCGACAGGGAGAAGCAGAAACGAGCCCCCGGTTTTGAGTCCCAGCATCACCGCTGGAATGAGGCACATCCCCAAACCTGCCCCGTGCCATATTAAAGAGCTACAGTGACGGGAAACGTTATTTTTTTTTTTTATCCCAATAAATCACATAGACCCAGACCAGGACTTCTTGAATGAGGAATCCCAACCCATTCTTGAAAAACCCACAGGTTACCTCCATGAAGTTTCACATTTTGTATCTCTATTACGATGACGATATTTTAGAAATAGCATAATTACATTACATATCATCTGGAGACTCATATAAAGACTAAGTAGTGCTTTGTCATCTTGGTTCCGCTAATCCCAAAGATGTAAATGTGTCTCCAGCTGAGAAGAGACTAGAGCAGAGTGGACTCACCAGTGCTGGGGCAGCGACACCACAGTGGCAGCCACCGGCCCCACCGTGCTGCTGCATAAATACACGGTTCCCAGCAGTGGGAGCAGAGAGCAGCGGGGTGGGTGGAGTCGGCACCCAGACACTGGAGTGGCACGTGGCGAGTGCGAAAGAAGACACCACCCACCATCTTGAGCAAAGACTTGGTTTCAGAAAAGCAGCAGCATCCATTATGTTGACTGAAAATTTTGAATTGTAATGATTTTATAAGCGCTTCATGAAATATAAACACCTTTAAACATTTTTTACTTTTAGAAGAGATACAAAGGCAAGGAAGTTAGACCTGCTTTTAAGTTTGTTCACATTTAAGTAATATTAATGCCAAAATAATTTAAGTCCACGCTGGTGGGAGTCTGTGAGAATTTTACCTTGGGTTCATTGCCCAAGTGTGAGAAAGGCTGACATAGATCATTCTAGTTTCGGAACACCTGTGAGCTGTACAGAGAGCGAACCTTTACTTTGATCAAAGTGCACGAAAGTATAGCAGCGCAGAGCCCGGAATTTTTTCCCAAACCTCTAATCAACAACGCTCGTTTGCAGACCTGCTCTCTCGTGAGCCTTGAGAAACTCAAAGTGCGGAGACCGGGCCTCCACTTCGGCACCTCTAACAGCTCCTGAAACGCACCTGGGGCCCCCAGGGTCTAGGGCACTGCGGCGGCGAGAGCCACGTTGGGCCCCAAACTTCCAGGGAGACAAAGAAAGCAGCGGCAGGCGGCCTGGTGGAGCACGGCCCGGGTGTACTCACACAAAGAAGGGCATCAGCTGGATCAGAGTCTCTTTCTTGGGGCTGGCGGCGAACTCGGGGACCATCTGGATGACTTTGTTCATGATACTGCGCAGGTAATTCTGGAGCTGCTTTCTTCGTTCCTCCACAAACTTGGCATCCTGAGAAAACAGACAGAACATCTGCGCTCAGGTGTGCTCGCCTCACCTGTTCAGAAACGACCCCACAGCGTACGCGATGCCCATGCACCCCCATCCGGAGAGCTGACGCCGCACTGAGGGAGGACCACGTGCAAATGGTCTCCAAGGCTTCGCACGCAGCATCACGTTCGGCAACAAGACAGACGCTCCTGATGTTAGTTATTGGGGGGAAAGCAGGTCCGAAAACTACACACAGCGTGTCCCACGCAAGTGTGGTCATTATTTCTGGGGCGCCTGCGACGCGCCTAGCATGGTGTCAGGGGCCAGGGACATAACAATGAACACGAATTGTCACTGCTGTGGCCCTTGTGGGGATCACAGGCCAGTGAGGGAGACGCAGATAAACCCAGTGACCGCACTGGTCACTGTGTAAATATTAATCGTAATAGATGCCGCTCTCCAGAGCACGTGCTTAATTTTGCCTTCACAGGAATAACCTAAAACATGAATGCGTTGCTACTGGTTAAGAAAGAGATTTTACTAACAAACAATTCCCACCTGGCACACCAGGGCCACACGAGGCGGGGGCTGCACAGGGTGGCCGCAGAGGGGAGGCAAAGGTGCCCAGGTCTGGGCAGTCTCCTCTTGGTGCTCAGGGCTCTGTGCTCCAGGCCCTCCTCCCCACCCCCTGACCCCACCCCACCCTCTCCAGGTCTGCCTGGCCTTTGCGGGCAGAAGCCACTTTACACACATGCAGCTTGTGCCACGTCAGAGGGTCTGCACTTGGACGGTGTGATAATCTGCTGTCCCCACCTGAACATTCTCAATAATTTTGGAGCAAGGGGTCCCACAGACTCTACAGCCGGTCCTGCGTGCACACCTCCACGCTTAGGACAAAGACACCCTGGGCAGTGTGGGGGTGGGGAAGGGTCCTCTCTGGGCAGGTGCTGCTCTTGCTGGACCGAAGGCCGAGCAGGGTGAAGAAATGAAGAGCAGAGAGGGCAGTGGAGGAGCAGGGTCATCTCAACCCCACAAGAACACGGGAGAAACGTGCTCTGACGAATCAGGTATAACAAATGAAGAAACTGCGGCCTTCAAATGAAGAACTGGGCAGGGCTGGGCGCTGTGTCCAGGAGGCCCCCCAGATCAGGTGGGGCTCTCGTCTCTGCTGCCCCTGCACCGGCACAGAGCCAGCCCAAGGCAGGGGCTCAGTCACGATCTGCAGCACCCAGGAAACCCACCCAATGCCTGCCCTGGTCCTTGATGAAGAGCTCCCACAAAGCCCCGCCAAGGCGCAGGGCGTGGAAGGAAGGCTCTTTTCTAAAGTGGTGTGTCTCTAAGCCAAGGCTGGCAGGTTCAGCAAATGAAAATACAGGATGTCTCATGAAATCTGAACTTAAGATAAACATTGAACGACATTTTTACAAAAAGTATGTCCCATACAAACAAAACCTCTCCATGCAGTATTTGGGAGACACTTACACTAAGAACTTATCGGTACTTTATCTGAAATTCACATTTCGCTGTGCATCCTATGTTTTCTCTGGCAAGCCTCCTCTGAGCACCAGCTAGGAGGAGAAAGAGCTATGGGACACCTGCTGCCAGCAGGGATTCTTGGGGGTCACTCCAAAGTCACGGCAAGGTCTTCTTGTCCAGAGCCCCCCCAGTGAGCAGCCTCAGTGGGGCACCTTCCTCCAGAGGGATGGCGGCACCCAAACATTGCCACGACCACTCCAACGCCACCATCAGTGTGGTCCTGGGCCGGTGGCGAGAGTCCCACACAGCCTGGTGGGAGGCAGGATGCGTGGAAACAAGTGAAAACAAGCCAGGGGAGCCGAGGGTCCCATAGCCCACGCTGAGCCGCTCCTGCTCTGCTTGCCCGGTCTCAATGCCAGTTCTGCTCTGTGATCTCCACGCTTTAAGCCATCGTGAAGCAATTAGACACTCTTCCTTGAGAAGGTGGTTAATATGCCAGGTTAGTGCCGAACAGAGCTAATCAAGCCTAGTTCCAATCTGCACAAGAAACCCTCAAGGACAGCTTGAGAGGCTCTGCTGCAGGAAGACAAGAAAGGAGCTAATCAGCCCTGGGAGAACTTGCGAAGATTTTTCTTTTTTTGGAAGGGGATGTTCAAACACTCTAAAGCAACAAGGAGAGAGCGGAGATGGCCCCTCAAGCTGCACGTGGGGCAGGGCTGAGCTACAGAGCCCAAGGAAGGTGAGGGCGGCCCAGAACAAAGGCCAGAGGATTGCATCCTTGAGTCCCTCCATCCATCACTGCTCGGCCAGCGTCTCCTCTTGCCCAGGTCCCCAAGGCAGAGACAGGGGTTATTACCTGCAGGAACCCCCAATCCTTTCCAAGTGCTCATTCCTCACCATAGCTGGTCCCTGGAAACCTAAGCCAGGCCCTGCTCTATGAAAATTAAACATGGCAGCAATCTGAACTTGGCATCCCAGCAATTTCTACCTGACTCACTCAGAATAAGCAACGACATTCGTCAGGTCTCCACTTATGTTAAGTGCTCAGAGCTTTCCTGGCGCTGCATCCTCACGGCACCTGCCAGGCTGGTGACCGGCGAGGAACCTGCCCAAGGGCCTGAAACTAGGAGGCAGCTGGGCAGGGTCCCAGGTCTTCAACCAGTGAACAACTACAGCCCCACTACACGGACAACAGCCTTCAACTTTTATAGCTTCCTCCAACCCAGGCTTCCGTCCACACACGTCCCACTGCTGGGTGGGCTGTGGCATGAGCCATTTTCTGTGTGAAGAGAAGGACACCTGTCCCCCAGGTGCCAGGGGCTGGGGGGCTGCCTCTCTCCCATCCTCTGCCCCGACCCTGTTTCCCTCAGGTCTCATTCTGCTCCCAGAGGTGCAGAGACCTCACCTGAATCACTGCGTGTGACTTGGTAGAAGGTGACCTGAGGGACAGAGAAGATGTCAGAACAATTCATGGGGCGCTAGATTCTCTCCTGCAACCATGGTTGTTGTGTTTGGTTTTTTTTTTTACTTTTTTATTATGAAAAATTTTAAATATGACAAAAAGCAGAGCAAATTATAACGAATCTCCATAACATTTCATCTAATAAAATCATAACCCTCTTCCACATCAGCTTCATCATTTTTCCCTTTTTGCTGAGGTGTTTCAAAGTAAATTACATGTGAAATCAACCCAAGTGCCCATCAGTTCATGAGTGGATTAATAAAACATGGTATATGTACACCATGGAGTACTACTCAGCCATAAACAAAGATGAATTAATGCCTTTTGCAATAATCTGGATGGAACTGGAGAACATTCTCCGAAGTGAAGTATCTCAAGAATGTACAAACACACACGTGTACTCACTATTAAACTGGAAGTAATCGATGAGCACATAGGTGCACAGAGGGAAGTAAAACCCAGTGGAAATCAACCAGCAGGAAGGGGGCAGAGGGGAGGGGCAAAAACCTACCTAATGGGTACAGTCAATACTATTTGGGTGACGGGCACACCTACAGCCAGGACTCAAGCATTACAGAAGCAACCCACGTAACCTAAAACATTTGTACCCCCTTAATATTTTGAAATAAACAATAAATTAGTTATATTTTACTCCTTAAATACTTCAATGTATATTTCCAAAAAACTAAGGACATCTTCCTATTTAACCACAATGCCATTATCACCCAATGAAATTAATGATATGCAACGAAATTAATGATAATTTGTTCATGTCATCTAATACCTAGCCCATATTTAAATGCTTAAGTTTTCTAATGTGTCTGCTGTTTCAGGAATGTTTGAAGAGGGGCCGTAGCGACCCTTGAATGGAGCCAGCCATTCCCTAGCAGGTGAGATACCGCACTGTTCAGATGGGACCCCCGTGAGGGGCCACTGGGTTCGGACCTTTTGGTGAAGATAATCCCACCATTTTCACCACAAGCCACTAACAGAGATCCATGGACCGAAGGGACTCACAGGGATGTTGTGTATGGCCTGAGCAATGCTTAAAAACATTAAGATTTCTGCATAAAATCCAGATTTCTGGCTTCCCTTTAAAAACAAGCAAGTCCTGCCAGCAGATAGGCGCCAAGCTATCAGTGCCCTGGCCAGCCGGCTGTACAGGGCCGCGGTTCTGCCAGCCTGCTCCCCTCTGCCCCACCCCTGTCCAGCCTCCAGGGGCCTGAGAGCTCACGAGCCCTACATCACACCACTTGCACAGACAGTGCGGCTGGCCCAGGCCCTACAAACCCATTTAAGAGCCCGTGCTGCACCCAATTCACATCACAAGATGATGTTCCCCGAGGCTATCAGAGAGCCTGGCAGTTTCACTGACAGTTCTGTGGGCATGTGGCTAAATCGCCCCAAACCTCAGATTCTCACCTGTAAAATGTCCATAAGGTAGTGTCTAACTTGTTTGTGGTAACCTGGCTAAGCATCTGGTAGCCGGCACGGCCCGCCGGGCTCCGAGACGGGCGCTGATGACTCAGGGATGCTCAGCTGGGCTCCTCCTCCAGGAGTGCATATGTGTGGAGGGGGTGGGGACGGGCAGGGGCAGGTGCTCCGGGAAGCTGGCAGAGGCGGGTGTCTAAGTCTGCGTGAGGGCTGGAGAGGGGGTTTCGCTCGAGGACAGCAACCCCTGAAGGTGCCGCTTCGGCCAAGTCCCAGAGGACCAACATCCGTCCACCAGGTGGGAGCCCTCAGCGCAGGGGAAGGGCATGCCAAGTGGAGCAATGCCAGAAAGAAACTCGCAGGCAGAAGGAGCTGGCCTGCGGGAGAAGGCAGCCCGTGTGGCCGGGTGAGGCGGTTCCAGACGCAGCAGACTGCGGTGTCAGCAGGAGTCCGACCACGCACAGCTGTGCGGACCAGGGAAGGCAGCGGTGGGAGGGAGCGAGACCGGGGAAGGCAGACCAGGGAAGGCAGTGGTGGGAGGGGCGAGCAGGAGGTCCGACCCAACAAGTGTTTAGAAAGACCGTGGTGGGGGCGACAGGCTACCGGCAGCCTCAGGCAGGGACCTTTCAGAAGCCTATCGTGACACTCTGCTACTTGGACTTCTCCAACAGCTGCCCAGAGCTCCCTCTGCCACCCCCACCCTGGCTCACAGGAACCTCAGCTGTGTGGCTCGGCATGCCTTGCCGACCTCCTTCCACGTCACCCTCTCCCCAGCCTGCCCACCCCCAACACTGTCAGCACCCAGCACCCCTGAGTTTCTTCTCGTGTCCAGCACACAGTCCCCGGATGTCCTCCGTCTTTGTTTGGGCTGTTCCCGTGGTCCAGAATGCCTTGCTATTCAGGTCTCGGCTCCTGTGCCACCACCTCCGGGAGGCCTCCCGGGATGTGCCAGCTGGGCCCAGGCCCTCGCCAGCCCAGTCTCCTCTCTCTATTCTTCAAAGCACTCAGCACTTCCTGGGATGGGACCGTTCCTCACTGTGTGCCTCTCACTTCCCCACTCCCCTGCTAGACTGTCACTCCACAAAGGCAGGGACCTGATCTCTCCGGTTCACCCCTCCATCTCTAGAGCCTAACACAGTGCCTGGAGATCTCGAGAGGTTCAATAACTGTTTGTTGAAAGAAGTATTAAATGTTGGGGGTGAATCTAGGGGAGCAAGGCAGGCCGCCAGAGAGAGTGGTCTGGGGGCTGTTGCCAAGTCCAGACAGGAGATAACAAAGACCCTGGTGGGGTGTCAGAGAGCAGAAGACCAGGGAGTAAGAGTGAGGAAGGAAACGGGGCCTTCAGAGGCCCCATTTGTCACACGGGGCTTCCAGGGGGAGACCAGTGTCCACGCAGGGGCCTGCCCCACCCAGCAGCGCCCAGCTCTTAACGGGGCACGAGGTATTCGTGAGTTTCCTGGTTGGGCTCCTGGGGTCGCAGCCAAAACGCAGATTAGCAGCGACGGCACTGGAGGCGAGCCCAGCGCACGAAGCCTGCCAGACTCCCCTGGTGGCCGCTTAATGAGTCCTCGCCGCCTGTGGCCCTGCTGCCATCCTGTGTGGTGCTCCTATCATAACACCGCCGTCAATTGTGTGTTAGGACTATTAATAGTGAGCACTGGGAGCTAGGCCTCGCTTTAAAAAAGAACACTCAGGACTATTCTAATGGGAGTGTTTTTTTCCCCTCTAGAAAAGGTTAATTTTATTTTGAGCTTCAAGAAGATAAAGATATCATCGAATTAAGAGTAGCTGTTTCAAAGAGGATGGAATGTCTTGAACGAGACGACAAGGCATGGCTCCTAACACGAGCTCAGGCCTCTGCCCTCCGCCTGTTCCGACATCCCGTCTCCTGGGCCGTTCCTGGCAAGTGCGCCTTCTCCAACGGGACCCTCCCCGGGAGCCGCGCTCTGTGTGAGACCCTGCACGGACAGAGGCGGCTCTGCATTCCCACGGCTCCTTTTTGTTTTTATCTTAGAACAGGGAGGCATTTTATAAAGTAAGCAGAAGGTCCGGTCCTTCGGGAGGAGCACGCAGCTTATGCCCAGTCGAGGGGCGGCTGCCTCAGCGCCAGCTGATCTCACAACTCGCCAGTGGCAACTGCAGTCCAGGACTGGGACCAGGCTCCCAAGGACGCCAGCAAAGGTCTCCTGGCTGTGGGACTCTGCCCTGCGCCCACCGGATGAGGCCGCTCACCAAACCCATCTCTTCTTTCCGGGCACAAGACAGACCAGGCTTCCCAGCATGCCTTGCCCACGCCCCAGGGTGGCTTCAGGTTAACGGGAGGTCATGGGGGTGCACAAACCGCGCCCACGCTGGACACAAAGAGAAAATACCTCACAATCCCCACCCCTCACTCTGGGAGTGCAGAGAAAGGAGAGAGAGCCGCCTCATCTGCAGCGGAAATTAACACGTAGTAGTGAGCCACCGAGTCACAGATTTATGCCGCATGATGGTCACAGACGCTCATGTTACCTGTGCTGGTGCCCACATGGCTCACGCAGTGGCTATGCATGGCATGCACGGTGCCTTGATAGGATGTATGCTGTGATCACACGTGTCCCCGCCCTCAGGAGCTTAGACCCAGCAGAGAGGACAGGTGGGTTCACAAATACATAATGGCAAGTGCTGCGGCAGCTACGACTCGGCCAGGGCGGTTGAGGGCAGGAAGGCACCTGGGAGGAGGTGCCTTCAGAGGTGGGACCTGGCGAATGAGAGGAAGGCCACACTGGAAGCAGAGAGACCAGTGAGGAGACTGCTGTGGTCACCCAGGGAGGAGATGCTGGTGGCACGGCCCACCAGGCTGGTGGCCAGGAGGTGAAGGGAAAGGAATGGACAGGCCAACAGGAATCATTCATTCACTCATTCAGGTCTCCCATCACATATCAGTTCATTCATTCATTCAGGCGTTTTCTGGTGCCCACTGGGAGCAGGCACCATGAGCAAAAGACAAATAAGACCTGGATCCTGCCCCCGGGAGCTCACGGTTGGTTAGAAAGGACGTGCAAATCGGTCATTATGAAACAGTGTGATAAAGCTTGAGTTGCACTTGATAAAGGGACACCAGGCCTACTGTGCAGGGGACGGAGGGGCCTTATTGGGAATGGGGGTCCCGGGAGCCTTCTCAGAGGCCCGTGTGATGTACTAATTACAGGACGGCAGGAGCGGTAACGGTAGCTGCAGCAGCAGTGGGAATAGTCGTTACTATCAACATCCACCAAGCACTTCCTCCGCCAGACGCTGGGCTGAGCTCACCTCTGCATCACGCGCAGTTTCATCTGTGCTCAGCAGGAATGAGCCTAGAGAGGCCAAGGCCACAGCTCGGGGGGACCACAGGACTCAGGCACAGAGATAGATGGGGGTGGGGGGAGCTGGGACAGACCTGGGAGGCCAGGCTGGAGGACACGCACTCTACCCCTAGGGGCCACAGGCATTTTAAGCAAGAGACAACAATCAGCTCTTCCTTCTATGAGACTGAAAAAAACTTCTGATGCTTCAGTTTTAAAAAGCTACTCTATTTTGTCCCTGCAGCATTGAAAATCTGCCTTTCCTCTCTGAAGCGTTAGCCAGCTGGGAGGCGTGGACGCAGCTAACCTAGACCGCAGGCCCAGGGCTGCCATCCCGGGACACCGGGAATGCGCCGCGCTGTGCTGCACGTGCACGCGAACCCGTGAACCCTGCTGTAAAGCCGGCGGAGCGCTGGGCGCACGATGCCTAGCCTGAGCAGTTGTTTCCAGGGAGCCCATTATGCAGCGGCTAATTGGGAAACTGAGGAGAAAAATTCCTGTTATTGCCAGTTTAAAAACTCTCGATGGAGACATCCGAGAGCAAGGAATAGTCGGGCGTGATTCGGCCTCTAGCTGTGGCTTCCAATCATCAGCGAGCCTGTTAAAGCTTCTGATTCAGAGCTTTTAGCAGAGCTGCATGGAGCAGCCTCACTTGATTAGCTCCAAGGAGATAATACCATTGCAAACGTAGAGAGGAAACCGTCCTCCTACTCTTTACATTGGGAACGGCCTCCAGTGTGCACGAGGAAGGGCCTGGTGTTCACATCTGGGCCAAGCAGCTGGCTGGGGGACCTGGCGGAGAGATTCTAAACAAGTCCTTTAACTTGTTTAACAAGCTGTTTCCTAGAGGCTCCTGAGCTGGAGCGCACTGGGTGTGGATGAAGGAGGGGGAGAGGAGGAGGGCTTTATTGGAAGGGGTAGGGGGGATGTGTCTCTGAGGCATCCTCGGTGAGACCCTGCCCCCAGCTGGGAGGCCCCCACCTGATCTGCAGGGGAAATTAATGCGTAGTAGTGAGCCACCGAGTCACAGATTTATGCCGCATGCTGGTCACAGGCGCTCATGTTACCTGCGCTGGTGTCCACATGGCTCACACAGTGACTATGCATGGCATGCACGGTGCCTTGACGGGATGTATGCTGTGAACACACGTGTCCCCGCCCTCAGGAGCTTAGACCCAGCAGAGAGGACGGGCGGGTTCACGGATACATAATGTGAGCCTCTGAGAAGTCCACCAACCCAGAGGCCGGAGCCACTGCCCCTCCCGAAGGGACGAGGGAAGCAAGGTCCCGTCGACTGCTCCACCCCCGCCACTCCACTGCACCACCGCTCACCGGCTGGGCAGGATAGAGAAAGATAAGAAACAGGCCCCGCGCTGTGGAGCTCGTCCTTTATCTCCTCCCTTCCCTCCCTGGACACTTCCTGAGCCCAGGGGACATTATTCAGTTATCCATGTAAACATTTATTTGACATCCTGTCTGTGCCAGGCCCTGTTAGCAGAGATGAAAAGCACCTCATTCTTGCTCAAAGGCACTCACGGTCTACCAAGCAGTCACACCTCCCAGCTTCCATTAGGCACCACAGTCCAGGGGATTCCATCCACCCGCCCACACGTCCACTGGGCGCGGCCTGTCCCGGGGCCTGTGCTGAGCGCGTGCTGGAGGGGAGCGCGGCAGCTGCCCTCCCGGGGCCGCAGCCGACGAGCCCGTCAGTCTCAGTACCAGGCTGCAGGAGGCTGGCGTGCTGGGCGGGGGCCCCTGATATGAGAGGACGGTCACAGTGCCAGGTCACGGGCCATGGAGGACAACAGACATGTGGGTCACTACCAAGACAGGGCGGCAGGAAGCAAGAAGCGCTCCTGACGTGGAGGGTGGAGCCGCTCCTAGCTGGGCCGTGTGGAAGAGTGTCCGGGAGGCGGGAGGCACTGAGACCCTGGTCTCCAGGGATGGGAGGATGTCAGCAGACGTGACAGGAGGGACGACGTGCCTCAGCGGGGTGTGGGCGGGAAGGGCCAAGGGAGTCGGGTGGCTCCTGTCAGTGACGGGGACGGCGCCAGGTGCAGACTGAGCCCAGCAACGGGGCACAGGGTTGGTTCCGAGAGGGGGCGAGAGAGGCCGGAGGCACAGCACTGGGGGTCGCCGCACGCAGGGAAGGGAGAGGAACGCGTGGGCTCTGGTGCCGAGTACAGGCGCCACTCTACGAGACTGGAATTACCATCCCCACTCCATAGCTGAGGAAACTGAGGCACAGAGAGTTACACTGGAGTAAAGTCATGGAGCCAGGACTCAAACCGGGCAGCCAGGCGCCAGAGCTCACGTCTCACCCACAGGCCACGCTGCCCCCCCGAGCGCTGCTTCTGGGTCCCCGAGGATGAGAAGGGCCTGGCCTATGAGGATTGACCCCAAGGATAAAATCCCCGGGCCCTCCGCAGTGAACGCTACGAGTGACTGGGCAATAGGCACTTCGGGTCCCTGGGGCAGGTCACATCCAAGATCCGACCACACTCATTTCCTGCAGAGAAACCCTCGGTGGCGCCCTGGTGCCTTCAGGATCCATGTCCGGTTCCCAAGCACAGCTCATGGCCCTTTGTTGCGGGCTCCTGCCCGCCTCTCCAGTGTCACCCCCTCGCCTGGGCTGGGCTCCCTGCCCTGGGTACCTCCACATCCCGGGGAGATGCTCCTACCCCAACCTCAATCTCCAGTGTCCAGTGTATGTAAACGCCTCCCCAATTCCCCTAGGCAAAGCCGCTGCTCACTGCACTCGGGGCCTGGACCAACTGCAGTCCGGCCACACCTAACTCTCCCATGGCCGCAAGGTCCTGCGGCGCCTCACTCACGGCCGTATCCATCCGCAGCGCCCAGTGCAAGGCGGACACCCTGCGTGAGCGCTCTGAGCCACTGATAAGCGGCCAGATCTTTTCTCTGCCCTGCCCAACACTGTCCGTGGTTTCCTGGCCCACCTGCAACACACAACCCCAAGTCCTTCAGTCCCACAGGACAGCCGCAGACCCCGGGCCCAGCCCGATCCTACAGTGAAGTCTCGGAAGACAGACCACAGCCCCCAAGGCTGGGCAGCTCAAGGAGGGGACACCCTGGAAAGAGCTTGGAGACCATACAGCAGCACTCACATGGTGTCACTGGATTGTGCCAACTGTGAGAAAGAAAATAAATCCTGACTACCACCCCCACCCCATCTATAACCAAATGTACCCACATCAAACCTTCACTGCGAACATGAGACAGAAAGTGTGTCTGTTTCAGAGCAGGAACAGAAGCTCCACACGGGCCTGGAGGGCCACTTACACCCTCCTCCCACATGCTTCCTGTAATGACAACAGGAAGACCCGTCATTGCAAGCCTACTGTGTGCCAGGTGCCCTGAAGCGTTCACCTGCATCATCTTGACATATTCCTCGACACCTTTATAAAGCAGACACGAACGTCTGCCTTTAGCACATAAGGAAACTGAGGCTCCAAGTGACGAAGTGCCTTCTCCACGGTGACCCGGCTGAGCGGCAGAACCACACCTGTCTGAGTGCAGCACCTGAGCTTTCAAGCATGATGCTGTCCTTCTCTCGGGACCAATGCACTCACGACGGCAGGAGACTTAGGCTTTGCTAAAAACAGAAATGAAAAACAAACTAGTCCTGCAGTTCACACAGGGTGAACCAAATGCCACTGTTCTAAAAACTTTCCTCTTGCTGCAGCGATAAATATTTGTGATTGGATGAATGTGCGCCTTTATGTGTATCAGCAGAGCCCCGTCTGTGGGAGAGTTCCTTTGTTCGAGATGGGCTGTCTCCCCGGGGTCAGGAGCCTGCCTGCAATGCCTCCTCTTCCCGTCACGGTGCCTGGCACAGGCTGGGCCTCGGCAGGACACGGCAAATGATCCCCCGGTAGGAGAGCAGCAGGCTCGTTGCCGCTGAAGCCTATTTTTCACTGTTTCCAACTTTGCAGCTGGGGGGAACCGCAGGCTGGACGGCTGGGGCTGGGCAGAGGCAGAGGAAAGGCTGGCTCATGCTTAATGGGAGTAACTCAGAGGGAAAAAAAGACACTGCCCAGGTACAAACACATCTCTTCCAGGACTGGCAAAGTCTAGCAGCGGCAGGGGCGGGTGGGTAGCAGACAGCGAAGCGGCCCGTGTGGACAGGGCCGGCTGGGAAGGGGCAGCCACTGCTTTATTCCTGGCAGCTGCTGCCTTGTGGGGAAGTGGGGCCACTCCTGCCTGGTCGCCGAGATTTTTATGTTAAATCTCAGATTTTAAAATATTGAAAATTATTTTTTAAAAATTTAAAGACCACATGAATCAAATAAAACACAAAGCGCAGGCCACATAGAACCACCGATTTAAGGCCCGAGATCTAATTAGAGGCTTGACAATCTAAAATACTGTCCACAAATCTACTGCGGCCAGGGCTAGCAGCCAAAGAAACTGAACAAAGTACTCCACCTGCCCGGATCTCAATTTCGTCACCTGTGCAAAGGTGACACTAAGAACGTCCGTCTCTGAGGATTATTGTGTGGCCAAATGAGACAATGCCTGTGGAGCAAAACCAGAGCTGGCCCGGAGCATGACAGACACTCAACACAAGGAATTTGCTTTCCAGAAGCAAGCACGATTCAGGTTCCTTATGCTTTTAAAACTACTATATTTTTGAGTTAGCTAACGATATTCGGTCAAATTAAATATAGTACACTGCGTGACCCAGTAATCCCACTCCAAGTATCTATGCCAGAGAAGTCCTCACACTGGACCATAAGTGCAGTATAAAGGGAGATTTCTCAAAGCGTCGTTTGGAAGTGGTGGGGAGTAAGAAGCCACCCGGGGCCCGTCTGGGGGAACCGAGAAACACAACCAACAGTAACAGAAGCAACGCGCAGGTGTGCACAGCCACACGCCGCAGCCTCGATGTGATGCTGAGAAAAGCCCAGAACGAGGGCCCCAGCAGCACGCCACGTGAGCAAACTGGAAATGCACACAACGGTGCGACCTATTCTGGGAGGAAACATACAAATTTTCAGATCCGTGCCAGAGCCGCTGGAGCAGCTGGTGGTGGCAGAGCAGAGAACAGGCGGCTGGTGGGGCGAGAGAGGATACATACAGGGCTGCAGAGTGGCCAGCGGGGACAGTGTGGCAGGAGCTGGCAAACAGCATCACTCGCTTTGTTGTACCTGAGGTCTGAAGAGGAAAAGCGAAAAGGAGAGACAGAGCCTTTTCTGGCCCACACCTGTACTCCCAGGACTTCCCTCCGTGGGGCCCAAAGACCCGGGCAGCATCTTGGGTTCTGCCCTGAAAAAGTTCCCAAGTCTGATAATTGCAGATGCCAAGACTGAGCTGAGGAATTCCACCTTGTGACTCAGGCCGCTCTCAGATACTTCATGTTCCAGTCTTCGCTGGGGCTCCCCAGCGTGCAGCCCTGGACGAGCTCGGGATCGCTGGGCTGACAGACGGCACGCACACTGCCACTCGCTTGTGGTCAACAAGTGAGTGCCCTCACCATGCCCCAAATCTTTCCACAGTCTGTCCTATCTGTGATGGTCACTGGGGGTCTGGGTGACCTGAGAGACCCTCAGAGATCTTAGCAGCAGCAGTGGCATCATCACGTGGGACCATCTCTGACTGTCATGACTGCAGCCTCTACAATCAGTGCAAATCCTCCACTGCTGATGGCACAGGCTGACATGGCTCAGCAGGCACAAGAGCGTAACGGGGACGGAATGTTAATGCCAGCCGACGTGCGCGGAACGCCAGGAACTGAATGGAGGCGCTTGCGAATATTATGTCTAACCCCAGCAACGCTGCCTAGATGAGGCTCAAAGAAGATAAGGACCAAGTGCCTTCCACTCTGCTCAGCCAGCATCACGTCCCCGAGGAGGTTTCCTCTGGCTTGGACGTGTCTGGAGGAAGAGGTGGCCTTCAGAGCCAGCCAAGGAAGAGAAGGTGGAGAGGCATTTGCACCCCTCCCTGGAGCAAGTGCAGAGAAAGACCAGGAGCAAAGCAAACGCCCAAAGCCCATCCCACACTGCAGTGGCCTGGGGTGGCAAACTCCACACCTCAGGGGCCGGTGCCGGCAATTCCTGCTTTTAAAGGGAAGCTGCAAATCTGGATTGTTAGGTAAGAATCTCTTAATTCTCAAATTGGTTGGTAGCTAATTCAAATGCTTGACTATCAATGGCACAGACTAAGCAAGGTGTATCTTCAAGCCATCCAGAAACAACAGGAAAAAAATCAATAGGTCATCAAAAACAGGGCTGCGCAAGATTGTTTCCACCCCGCTGTGACAGCCCATCCAGCCGTGCTACTGAGAGGTGGCACCCCTCCACACCTCTGCAGGCCAAGCACGTGTCTACAGGAACCGTCCAGACGCCCTGGGAAGGGGTGGAGGGCTCGGCCTCCAGCGCAGGGCTGGGGCTGTATGACAGTGCCACTCCTCTGGAATCCTGTCTGCGACTGCAACTGCTAGGGACAGAACACCCACCGCAGCCACCGGGGCTAGACCGTCCAGTGATGGCATTCTAGCAAATCTTCAAACACATTCTTCTCAAGGAGGTGCTGGCATCTCCATTTTACAGATAAGGACTCAGACTCAGAGAGACGAAGTTACTTGCCCACAGTCACGTTAACCATTGCCAGAGCTGGGGTTTGGACCCAGGTCCACCCGCCTTCCAGGCCCAGAGGCTCTGCTGTCCCTCACTGTGCCTTTCCTTACACAGGGGACTTTGCAAAAACTCCGTTCAATCAAAAGCCCTTGACTGGGCCTCGGCCATCTGCCTGGTGCCAGGCTGGGGACGGGTGGGATGTGACAGGCAGAGGACAGAAGCCTTACCTCTTGGGACGTTTGAGTTTACGAGTTTAATGCAAACCAAACGGATAAGATGAAGTGGGGAGGAAAAAGGGTCATTTTAAAGTTCTACTTGGGAGCATTAGTTACCCCAGACAGCGTCTGTGGAGTTTTCCCATAGGAAGCAAAGTAACAATTAAATCAGATTCAAATAAGGAGCCATTCTAGCTGGAGTGAAGAAATGTCCCAACTCAGCGTCTTGGCTTCTCTATCTGTGCAACCAGAGGGTGGGGCCGTCACCATCCATTTATCCCCCAGCGTGAGGTGCCAGGCACGGTGCTAGGAGCTGGGACACAGCGGTGCGTGAGGCGACAGGGCGGAAAGCTGGTGCTCACGGAGCGTCTATACACCCTGCTCCATCTCCAGCGCCCTCGGCAGTGAGGGTGGGGGCACTGGACTAATCTGGCCGACAGGCAGACAGCAGAGGTGGGGGGACCCAGGTCCAGCGGGGGCGTCCCTCTCCTGTCTCCCTGCGGGTGCTGCAGATGTCTGGGGCCATGACACCCCCCCTTCTCTCAATGCTCCTGTGAAGCGTGCTCCACACATCCCCCTTCTCCTCACAGGACCTGCTGGCAGCGGAAGGACAGGGATGGCCAACTCCATGGCACAGGTGGGGCCACTGAGGCACAGACCTGCCTGGAAGGCTAGAACTGAACGAAGGCCCCGAGATCTCAGAGTCCCTGAGAGCCAAAAGGGACTTCTGAGCTCAGGGAGTTCAGGGGTCCCCAGAACCCTGGGATGGGGGCTGCATCCGGGAGATATAGGGAGGCCCTAATTTGACAACCGGCTCCTCTTTTATCTGTTTAAAGTATTGGGGAAAACAATGTCGGTGGTTTAACAGCTGCCATTTACTAAGTGCTTACTTAGTGCTGGGCTTGGTTTTAAATGCTTTTCATATACTGTCCCAGTAACTATTAAAAGTAATTAATAATTTAAAACACTATAACTAAACCCATTTTACAGATGAGGAAATAGAGACACCAAGCTGGAATACTTGTCCAAGGTCAAATATCCATCGAGCAGTGGGAACCAAGTCAAAGCCTGGCCCATCTGACTTCAGAAGCCACCTATCTAACCACGCTGTCCTGATCCCACGGAATCCACCTATCTAACCACGCTGTCCTGATCCCACGGAATCCACCTATTTAACCACGCTGTCCTGATCCCACGGAATCCACCTATCTAACCACGCTGTCCTGATCCCACGGAATCCACCTATCTAACCACGCTGTCCTGATCCCACGGAATCCACCTATCTAACCACACTGCCCTGATCCCATGGAATCCACCTATCTAACCACGCTGTCCTGATCCCACGGAATCCACCTATCTAACCACGCTGTCCTGATCCCACGGAATCCACCTATCTAACCACGCTGTCCTGATCCCACGGAATCCACCTATCTAACCACGCTGCCCTGATCCCACGTAATCCACCTATTTAACCACACTGTCCTGATCCCACGGAATCCACCTATCTAACCACGCTGTCCTGATCCCACGGAATCCACCTATCTAACCACACTGCCCTGATCTCACGTAATCCACCTATCTAACCACACTGTCCTGATCCCACGGAATCCACCTATCTAACCACACTGCCCTGATCTCACGTAATCCACCTATCTAACCACACTGCCCTGATCCCACGGAATCCACCTATTTAACCACACTGCCCTGATCCCACGGAATCCACCTATCTAACCACGCTGCCCTGATCCCACGGAATCCACCTATCTAACCACGCTGCCCTGATCTCACGTAATCCACCTATTTAACCACACTGCCCTGATCCCACGTAATCCACCTATTTAACCACACTGCCCTGATCCCACGGAATCCACCTATCTAACCACACTGCCCTGATCCCACGGAATCCACCTATCTAACCACACTGCCCTGATCTCACGTAATCCACCTATTTAACCACGCTGTCCTGATCCCACGGAATCCACCTATCTAACCACACTGTCCTGATCCCATGCGGGTGCCACCGCCACAATTACATAAGTAAAACAAAATCAAAAAGTGATCCCTACTCCAAGTCTTACAGAGAGGAACCTGAAGGCCAGCGTGGCTGTTTCCTCCAATCCCCAGCCTGCCCACGGAATCCACCTATCTAACCACGCTGTCCTGATCCCACGGAATCCACCTATCTAACCACGCTATCCTGATCCCACGGAATCCACCTATCTAACCACACTGCCCTGATCCCACGTAATCCACCTATCTAACCACACTGCCCTGATCCCACGTAATCCACCTATTTAACCACACTGCCCTGATCCCACGTAATCCACCTATTTAACCACACTGCCCTGATCTCACGTAATCCACCTATTTAACCACGCTGTCCTGATCCCACGGAATCCACCTATTTAACCACGCTGTCCTGATCCCATGCGGGTGCCACCGCCACAATTACATAAGTAAAACGAAATCAAAAAGTGATCCCTACTCCAAGTCTTACAGAGAGGAACCTGAAGGCCAGCGTGGCTGTTTCCTCCAATCCCCAGCCTGGAGTCCTTCCCACGTCACACCGAACGTGGCTGCTGAGGCAGCTGGCATCCAAGGAGCCGTTCTCCGAAAAGAACTTTTATTTCTTGGCAGCAGGCAAGTATGGTACAAATAAACTTAAGAAAGTCCAACCCATTAATGAAAATAGGGACGTGGCACCTGTAACATTCTCGGTGTATTCACTGCAGCCCAGGAGCCGCTGCCAGGGCAGGTGGCAGGGGCACCAGCTGACACCCAACGCACGCTCCCCTTCCTGGGGGCAGAGTCACTGGCGAGCAGTGGCCCAGCCAGCGGCTACACGTCCTGGGCCCTGCCGCATCTAGGTGAGGCCGGGGACTCGTTCTTGCCAATAAACCGTAAGAAGAAGTAATGCTTCACTTCTGGCTTTCTGTGTTGTCTGCAACTGTTTTCACACCACAACAAAATTCCGTAGTCGTGACTGAGCCCATATGGCCTTCAAAGCTGAAAATATACTATGTGGCCCTTTCCGGAAAAAGCTGGTTGGCCTCTGCCCTAGGGGATGTGAAGGCTCAGAATGGAAAGGCCTTGGATCTTTGCACAAGCTATTTACTGACCACAAACACCTGGACAATAACTTCAACAAGAAACAGAGAGTCTGGGGTCTAACTCTGTTACAGCAGCCGGCTCTGTGCCGCCAATACACGTGGAAAATAGAATAGGGGGCTGTCCATTCTGCACCAGTCACCAATGGTCCAGACTGGGGGCCGTGGGGCTGGCACATAAATGGCAGCTTGGGACAGGAGCAAAGATTCTCTTCCTCTGACTGCACGTAGCAGCTCACGTTTGTTGAGGGCTCGCTCAGTGCCAGGCACGGTGCTGAATGCTTTGACGTGGTGGAAAAGAGCCCAGCTGGGCGGTCAGACCACCTGTGTTAGAGTCCTGGCTCCACCACTTGCTAGGTCTGTGCATCATTTCAGTTTTATCATCTCTGAAAGAGGGATCATAGTAGTTGCAGCGGCTGACACAGGTAAGCACTTAGTTGATGTTAGCTATCACCATCATCTTTGTCGGGCCATTTCATTCTTACAATAACCTATGGCTTCGGCACGGTAATTATTCCCACTAGCAGATAAGCACATAAGACATGGTCTTCGCTCTGAAGTTCACAGCCGTGCAGAGCAGTGAATGCAAAACTGAGTGATGGTTAGAACACAGTGAGATGCGGGCTGCGTTAAGGATGGGCCTCAGGAAAGGGATGTGAGGGAGAAGAGGGTTCAGCTGGACTTGGTGGGTCGGGTGGGGGGAAGTGTGGTTAGAATAACCTTCCCAGGCCTGGCAGGGAGAGCCACCTACCGCCATTTGCTGACCACAGGCAATGCTCTTGCACCTGTCTTTTCTTAAACCCCTCATGTTCTGCCTTTGCTGAGCTTAAGATTCCAAGAAATCACCTCTCTAGGTAAAATGCCAGGGAGCTCAGTGATTTCTTTCATCTTTCATTTCTTTGTTTTTAGGGTAATCAGATGGACAATACCTTTTTCAATGCTGACTCTATTTCCTCCTTATCACTTTAGAAACCTTTACTGAAGCTTCAATTATTTAAGAGTTTTTATAAGTTATTATAAGATAACTTTTCTTCTTTCTAACTTTTGCCTGTTGAGCACCCAGCCCCTCTATGCCTCTGTTAGGAGCACTATAACGACCCCTTCAAAGATCTCCCATTTCCCATTTTCAGTCTGCGTAGCTGGGGAAGGGCCACCCCCCCCCCCAGTTGCAGGGGGCAGGCACACGAGTCAGGACCAGACTTCAGGGTGCTCCATCTCCCTGGCCACTGGGATTAGCTCAAGAACGGGCACATGAACAGAAGTAGTGTGAAACTTGTATGCTGAAAAACTACAAAATATTGTTCAAAGAAATTTAAAAAGACCTAAGTAAATGGAAAAATGCCATGCTTAAGGATGGGAAGACAATATTACTAAGATGACAATACTTCTCAAATTGATTTGCATGCAGATTGCAGCTGTTTATCAAAATCTTAGTTATCGTCTTTGCAAAATTGACAAATTAATCCTAAAATTCATATGAAAATTTAAGAAATCCAGAGAAAGCAAATTAATCTTGAAAAAGAAGCACGAAGTTGGAGGACTAACAATTCTAAAACGTAACACATATATTGCTGTATACAAAGCTACAGCAATCAAAAAACTATGTAAGATGACAGATATGTTAATCTGCTTCACTGTAAGAACCATTTTACTATCTATATATATCCCATAAAATCATGTTGTAAACCTCAAATATATATAATAAAATTTATTTTTTTAAAAAGATAGTATGGAATTGGAAATAAGGATACTTAGATCAATGAAAAATAATTAAAAGTCTAGAAATAAACCCTCACATTCATGGTCAACTGATTTTCCACAAGGATGCCAAGATGACTCAATGGGGAAAGAATGGCCTTTTCAACAAACAGGACTAAAATAAGTAGATCCGCATGCAAAATAATGATGTTTGGGCATCTTCCTTCTACCATGCACAAAAACTACCTCCAAATGAATCACAGAACTGAAGGTAAGAGCTAAAACTATGAAACTGTTAGAAGAAAACAGGAATAAATCTTTGTGACCCCTGGGTTAGGTAAAGCTTTCTTAGATATGACAGCAAAAAAAGCACAAGCAACAAAACAAAATATACAGTGGAATTCATCAATATTAAAAACAACGAAAAGACAAATAACCCAATTTAAAAATGAGAAAAGATCTGAACAGACATTTCTCTCACAGGCCAAAGAGCACATAGAAAGAAGTACGACGTCATTAGTCCCCAGGGAGGCACAACTGACACACAAAGTGATACCACTTCACATCCACTAGGGTGGCTAGGAGCAAAAAGATGATAATAAGTGTTGGCAAGAACGTGGAGAAATTAGAACGCTCGCACATTCCTGGTTTCCGTAAAGTGATACAGTGAGTTTGGAAAACAGTTTGACAGCTCCTCAAAATGTTAAACACAGTTACCGTATGCTGTGGCCCAAATGTTTGTGTGTCCCCCCCCCAAATTCATATGTCAACCCCCAAGGTGACGGTAGTGGGAGGGACGGTCTTTGGGAAGTGATGTAGTCATGTGGGTAGCACGCTCATGAATGGGATCGGTGCCCTTAGAAAAGAAGCCCCAGAGAGCTAGCTGGCCACTTCCACTGCAGGAGGACAGGGCTGTAAGGCACCGTCTACGGACTAGGAAACCAGCCCTCACCAGACACCCAATATTGCCAGCACCTTGATCTTGGACTTCCCAGCCTCCAGAAAAGTGAGAAATGAATTTCCGTTGTTCATAAGCCACCCAGTATTTTGTTATAGCAGCCTGAATAGACTAAGACACCATGTGACCTGGCAATTCCCAACCTTGAGAGAATGAAATGAAATGGGGGGAAAAAAAGGAAAACATATGTCCATCCAAAAACATTCATAGGATTGTTCATAAAAACCAAACAGTGGAAATAGTACAAATCTCTCCCATCCAAGTACTAACCAGGCCTGACCCTGCTTAGCCACTGAGATCAGATAAGATTGGCCATGTTCAGGGTGGTATAGCCACAGACATCTCAAACGCCTATCAAATGATGAATGGATAAGCAAAATATGGCATACCCATACAAAGGAATATTATTTGATGTTAAAAAGGAAGAATAGTAACTTCCACATCTGCAAGAATATGTTCCCAGACTGCGGGTACATGCCTGAAAGCACAGATAGCACCAAACTTTATACATACTATGTTTTTTTCTACACGTTCCCTATACTTATGATAAACTTTAATTTACAAATTAGGCACAGTAAGAGATTAACAGCAAAAACTAACAATAAAATAGAACAATTATAATACATTGTAATAAAAGTTGTATGACTGTGGTCGATTTCTCTCACCATGTCCTATTAAACTGTACCGTGACAGAAACCATAGACAACAGAACCAGGGCCAAGGGAGCCACTGTACTAATACAAGCTGCGACACAAATGAACCTTGAAAACATCATCCTTCTGTGAATCACAAAAAGACTTCGAAGTGTATGATTCAATTTATATAAAATTTTTAGAATAGGCCAACCTATAGATACAAAAAGTGCATTAGTGATTGCCTAGGGCTGGTGTTAGGGAGAAATGGGGAGTGACTGCTAAGAGGTGCAGTTTCTTTCTGGGGTGATGAAAATGTTCTAAAATTGGTTGTGGTGATGGTTGCAAGATTCTGTGAATATATTAAAAAACTGCTGAATGTTATATTTTAAAAGGGTGAATTATCTGGTATGTGAAGCCTATCTCAAGTATTAAAAAGGAATGAAGTTCTGATATGTGCTGTGATATCAATGAACCCTGGAAATAGCATGCTAAGAAGCCAGGCACGAAAGACTACATACTGTATTATTCTATTGACATGAAATGTTCAGAATGGGTAAATCGATGGAGACCAGAAGTGGATTAGTGGTTGCCAGGGGTGAGGGTGGAGGGTTTGGTGGAAAGTGATAACTGCCAAGTGGTTCAGGGATTCTTTTGGGGGTGATAGAAATGCTCTAGAATTGATAGTGGTGGTGGTTGTACAACTCTACACTAAAAGCCAAGTAATATTTTAAATGGTTTTTAAATATTTTAAATGTATATTTTAAATGGTTAGAGTGTGTGGTATGTGAATTACATCTCGATAAAGCTGTTTAAAAAACAAAAAATGGGCACACGAAAAGAAGATATCATAAGGAAACTGAGCTCCAGTGACGAAGTGCATCCCACGTGACCCGGACGACGCAGAACAACCTGTCTGAGTGCAGCACCTGAGCTTCAAGCATGATGCTGTCCTTCTCTCGACCAATGCAGCTCCACGACAGCAGAGACTTAGGCTGCAAACAGAAATGAAAACAAACTAGTCTGCAGTTCCACAAGGGTGAACCAAAATCCACTGTTTCTAAAAACTTTCCTCTTGCGCAGCGATAATATTTGTGATTGGAGAATGTGCGCCTTTATGTTATAGCAGAGCCCCGTCTGGGGAGAAGTCTTGGTTGAGATGCTGGATCGGTTGCCTGTTCTCCCCGGGCGGAGCCTGTCCTGCAATGCCTCCTCTTCCCACACGGTGCCCTTCATCAGCGGGCCCGGCAGACACCGGCAAATGATCCCCCGGTAAGAGAGCAGCAGCTTGTTGCCGCTGAAGCCTATTTTTCACTTGTTTCCAACTTGCCATCGGGGGAACCGCAGGCTAGATGGTGGGTTGGCAGAGGCAGAGCAGAGAAAGGCTGCTTCATGCTAATGGATAACCAGAGGAGAAAAAGACACTGCCCAGGACAAAACACATCTCTTCCAGGACTGCAAGTCTACACGCAGGGGCGGTGGTACAACCAGCGAAGCGCCCGTGTGACAGGGCCGGCTGGAAGGCAGCCCACTGCTTATTCCTGCACTCTGCCTTGTGGGAAGTGGGGGGCCACTCTGCCTGGTCGCCGAGATTTATGTTAATCTCAGATTTAAATATGAAAATATTTTAAAATTAAAGACACACTGAATCAAATAAAACCAAAGCGCAGGCCACATAGAACCACCGATTAAGGCCCAGATCTTAATTAGAGGCTTGACAATTAAAATACTGTCCACAAATCTACTGCAGCCAGGCTAAGCGCCAAAGAACTGAACAAAGTATCCACCTGCCGGATCTCAATTTCTTCCGTGCAAAGGTGACCGCTAAGAACGTCCGTCTCTGAAAAAAGGATTATGTGTGGCCAAATGAACATATGCCGTGGAGCAAAACAGTAGCGCACCCGGAACAATGACAGACACTCAACAAGGAATTTGCTTCTCCAGAAGCAAAGCACGATTCAGTTCCTTATGCTTTTTAAAACTACTATATTTGAGTTCTAACGAATTCGTCAAATTAATATAGTACACTGCGTGACCCAGTAATCCACCTCCAAGTATCTAGCCAGAGAAGTTCCTCACACTGAGCCAAAGTGCAGTTATAAGGGAAGAATTTATCAAAGCGTCGTTTGGAAGTGGTGGAGTAAGAAGCCACCGGGCCCGTCGGGGGAACCCGAAAACACACCAACAGTACAGCAAGCGCAGGTGTGCACAGCCACACGCTGCACCTCGATGTGATGCTGAGGAAAGCCCAGAAGAGGACCCAACACATGCCACATGTGCAAACTGAAATGCACACCAACGCTGCGACCTATTCTGGGAAGGAAACATACAAATTTTTCAGATCCGTGCAGAGCCGCGAGCAGCCTGGTGGGTGGCAGGGCAAGAACAGGCGGCTGTGGGCGAGAGAGGAACATACAGGCTGCAGAGTGGCCAGCCGGGGACATTGTGGCAGGAGCTGCAAAACAGCACATTGCTTTGTTGTACCTAGGTCTAAAGGAAAACGAAAAGGAAGATCAGACCTCTTTCTGGCCCACACCTGTACCCCAGGACTTCCCTCCGTGGGGCCAACCCGGCAGCATCTGGTTCTGACGGTTCTGCCCTGTGAAAAAGTTCCCCAGTCTGATAATCAGATTCAAGACCGAGCCTAGGAATTCCACCTTGTGACTCATGCCGCTCTCAGAATACTATGTTCCAGTCTGCTGGCTCCCACGTGCAGCCCTGGACGAACTCGGGATCGCTGGGCTGACAGACGTCACGCCACACTCCACTGCGTTGTGGTCAACAAGTGATGCCCACCATGCCTCCGAACTTTCCACAGTCTGCCTATCCTGTGATGTCACCGAGTCTGGGATGACCTGAGAACCTCAGAGATCTTAGCACAGCAGTGGCTCATCACGTGGACCATCTCTGACTGTTCATGGTGACTGCAGCCTCTACATCAGTGCAAATCCTCCACTTGCTTGATTGGACAGCTGACATGGCTCAGCGGGCACAAGAGCGAACGGGGACGGAATGTTAATGCCACCAACTGCGCGGAACGCCAGGAACTGAATGTGATTGCGCTTGAAATTATTTATGTCCAACCCCAGCAACCTCCTTATGATGAGGCTCCAAAAAGATAAGGACCGAAGTGCCTTCACTCCCTTGTCAGCCAGCATCACTCCGAGGAGGTTTCATCTGCTTGGACTGTCTGAGGTAAAGAGGCTTCAGACCATGCATGGAAGAAAGTGGCGAGGCATCGCACCCCTTCCTGGAGCAATGTGTAGAGAAAAGAGACCTAGAACGAAGCAAACGCCAACCATCCCAACACTGTATGCCTGGGTGCAAGCTCCACACCCTCAGGGCGGCCTGGCAATCCTGCTTTTAAGGGAACTCAATCTGGATTTTAGTTAAAATCGTCTTAATTGTCAGAATTGTTGGTACAATCAAATGCTTGACTATCACTAGACTAAACCCAAGTGTATCTTCATGCCATCCAGAAACAACAGGAAAATCAATAGGTATCATGTAAAAACAGGCTGCGCAATGATATAGATTGCTTCCCAACCGTCTGACACCATCCAGCCGTGCTTACTGAGAGGTGCAGCCCGCTCCACACTCTGCAGCAACACTGTGTCACAAGGAGCCGTCCAGACCCCTGGAAGGGGTTGGAGGCGCGGCCTCGCAGCGCAGGCTGGGCTGTATAACATGGCCACTCCTTCTGAATCCTGTCTGCTAAGCAACTGCTAGGACATGAACACCCACTCGCAGCCTACCGGCGAGCTAGACCGTCCAGCGATGATTCTATCAAATCTTCAAACACATTCTTCTCAAGGAGTGCTGCACTCCATTTACAGATAAAGACTCAGTACTCAGAGAGACGAAGGTACTTGCCCACATCACTTACGTCATTGCCAGAGCTGGGTTTGGACCCCAAGGTCACCCCTTCCGGCCCAGAGGCTCTGCTGTCCCTACACTGTGGCCTTTCTACCACAGGGATCTTTGCAAAAACTTCCGTCATTTAAAAGCCTTGTACTGGCCTCGCCACTGCCTGTGCCAGGCTGGGACGGGTGGATGTGACAGGCAAGAGGACAGAAGCCTTACCTCTTGGGTACGTCTAGTTTAACGAGTTTAATGCAAACCAATACGAGTAAGTAATGAAGTGGGGGATAATATGGTCATATTTAAGTTCTACTTGGAGCATTAGTACTCCAGAATGCGCTGTGGAGTTTTTCCCATATAAATCAAAGTAACAATTTAAAATCATATCCAATAAAGGAGCCATCTTACGCTGGAGTGAAGAAATTCCATACTTCAGCGTCTTGGCTCTCTAATCTGCAACGATAGGGTGGCCTCACCATCGCATTTATCCCCAGCATGAGGTCCAAGGACACGGCGCTAGGAGCTG